ATTTCTTGTCCCAAAATTGTTGTTGGGAGGGGGCAAAGTTTAGCCGATAAAACAAATTTCCGGACATGCTATTTTTCATCTTATTGTGGGTTAAAATACCGTTGTTCACTTCATTTTCCCTGATGTTTTCGTAAATTTCCCCACATTTTAGGTATCACTATTAACTTTTAATCAGTGTCACTCAAATATTTTACTTTTTTCATCCTATCCAAATTCATCTTTTGCCGACTACGAAAACAACTTGCCGACTGGGATTTAATATTTTGCTGACTAGCTGATGACTGGTGGGAGGGGGTGTTCCACCATGAAATTCACAGCGTAGTGATCACAACGTGAAATTTACAAAATTCCGTCGTAGAATCGTTGACTGCGCGTTGGAATTACACAAGACGCGTTGGCCGCGCTAGTTACCAAGCCTTTCTAACGCGTCTTCTCTAGCGCGCCGTAAAGGGTAAACTCTCTATGTACTATTTAATTAACGAGCCAACGACGCGGGGTGAGTAGGGTGAGGATACTTATTTCTTTCGGCTATTTACGAGTACTTATTCCGCTTTCCACTACAAATTTTGGCAATATGATTAGTTAGCGAAAAATTTTGCCGTGAAAAAATTTCCCTCTAGCAAATCACATTGCCAGAATTTTTTCGCTTTGCGCGACCAAAATAATTCCTCTGTATAGTACAATATTTGACTAGCATTACCCCTACTAACTCTTGACGAAGGGCCTTCGCTCGAAACGTCGAGTTTCTGCTTATTTTTTAAGGTAGTAATATAACCACTCAGCACAGCATTTTCACATTGGTACTACCAACACTGGTACAGACAGTTTTAGCATTACAACACTCGACTATTTCGGCGACCTGACTGTAATACATGCGGAATCATCAGTTATCATAAGTTATTGCAACGAATTACGCAATTGAATTTAAATGTGGTGGTGTATCAGTAACACGATTTAAAGCACTGCTTCGAGACAGACAATAGTTCAATTTTTCTATATTTGTATAGATTATTTATATATAAATAAGAATTACAATTATAATATCTAGATATAGACGTAAAATTTGTTTGTAATTTGTTATTTGTGCAACGGCCCCTTGAAAACAACGTACTTATACTTGTTGAAGGGCTACGGTTGTTGTTTTAAATAAGATTAAATAATAATAAAAGATTAATTGACAACCAAAATTACTGTTGTCATCTATTATTCATCGTATATGAAAAATAATACAGTTTAAGCATTGAGGTTAACATAGGGTTAATGATTGAGAAAAGTTCTGGGACCCACTGAACGTATATTGTTGATACCACCAAGTAAGCACAACAAGATGTAATATATCAAGTAGTAATGGTTGTTTTTCAACAGATGTTGTTGACATATTACCAGGATTACCAAAATATTTCCAAGAGAACCGAATATGCTAACTGAAGTGAAAGCATATCCAACGAAGGAATTAGATATATAATTCGGCGTTGTTCCTGTTTTGTTCCTCAATGTTGTATTCATGATGAAAACCAACAAGAAAAAACTATAAGATATGTTGATATAGTGCTGGCGACGACAAAACAATACGAAAATGAGGAAAACAATTTGGCGGAAGTCAAATACACGTCGTGTGTTTAAAACATATTTCGAATTTAAGCAACGTAGCTCAGTTGGCAGAGCATTGGACTAGTATCGCAAAGGTCGCGGGTTCGATTCCCACCATGGCCAAGCTAACTTTTCAGCTTGCCCGGTGTGGATGCACACTCAGAGTAACATCACAAACATAATTAGTCTTATTAATTCTTATAATTAGTTATTAATTCTCCCCCTGGTTATGAGTGAGATCTAAAATTTTCGAGTGGAAGATCTTTTCGGCCGATTAATTTTTGAGCCTTATACTGTAATTAAACAGATCGATCCATCATTAAATTGGTCTTCATCAAGACGGTTGATAAAACAAGAATTGAATATTTGAATTGTAGCCAAAATATGAAAAAACGATTTTCTTGGTTTACATCCGGGTAATTCTAAATAGTTTGCTTGCGCCATTCATTCAACGGCCATATATAACTCAAATTTGCCCCCCATTATTAGCAATCTTCAATTTCTCTCTTTCGTTTGCCTGAACTTTCCCTATTCTTTTATAATCTATGATGTTGACAAGGAATGTCCATGATGCGACGAATCAGGCTGTCTGGTTTCACATTAAACAAATAACAGTCAGTACAGTACGTGCTACGTACAGTAAGTGAACATGGCTAAAATTTAGGGGTTGGTGCACCGGAACCAATCTTGTAATTAAGTTTTGGAGGAAATGCATCTGACCAAAATTCGAAAAATACAGCTGAGTGAGAAACTATAACTGAGTTGATTTAACCATTTACAGTACGGTTAATACTGTATACAGTATATTTAGGTTAGTTGAGTTTCAGACTGTTAGCATCTAGTACACAGTCTTAGTATGTCTCTCTAAAATTTCCTTCCAATAATTATCCATTAAGACCAAGTCAAAATGAGTAATGGTCATGGCCCATTATTTTGGTGAATGCTAGCTGTTCTGTGTTTCTATGAGCCCTGCAACTCAGACTATCTGCTCATGTATCCAGTAGTTAACCCGTTAAGTTGCATTGTGCCCTAATGCTCCCTACTTTATTATAATTTTAGTCTGGCTAATAACAGATGATTTTACTCATTAACGAAGAGCACTCCTCCCCCACCCTAATAAATAACCACTCCCTTATTAAGAAATTCCCAAGATTCTGATAAGAAATATATAAGCAAGTCAGCACTCACCCCTTGATAAGTAAAATCATCTGGCATTAGACAGTGTAAAATAATGAGAACAGATGGTTATTTTCAAGAAGGCATACTGAAAAGGTACCGATATTCAAAGCTATTGGGGGACCACTTGCATGTAGAGATTTAGCATTATCCTAATGTTTGAAATTTTGTAATATCCAGTTAGGATACAAATCATTCACAGTTTGGTATCCAAAACCAATTTTTAGTGTCCTGCAGATATCAGGAAATGGCAAATTTCAGACACTGCATCAGGGGCAGATTTACCATAGTAGTGCAGGGGTGTGCGCCCCACCTAGTAGTGTCTACCACACTAAAAAAATCTGCTAGACCATACGTTTTTGCTAGATCATAGTGATTAGCAGAACTTCTACTGTTCGCATGTGTCGATTTCTTAAAACGATTTACACAATTACAGTAATTTGATTTGTGAACTCACGAGAAAATGTTCAGAATGGTTTTAGTTAAATATCATGGTTAAATATGTTATACAGGGTGTATAAAAAAAACTGCACAGATTTGAAATTGCTTTTAAATTTGCAAAACAGCTATTAGTATCCAGTTTTTGATGTATATACTAGCTTCTTTGGGTACTTATAATGTAGAAAAATGGAAAAAATTTCTCGAACTCAAATTTTGTAAACCAGGCGGGTGTGTCTTTTCCAACAAACTAAAAATGACTTGCGCACAAAATTTAAAAGCTTTAATCATATTTTGAGTTGATAAATGGAACATTTATTGGGTTTTTAATTACTGTACAACATTTCAGACAATTTGCGTTAGTTTAAACCCTTTTAACTATTCATTTTTGTCTAGAAAATTAGCCTTTCGCATGCTTAATTAACCCATTGAGTCGCATTGCACCCTGATGCACCCTACTTTAGTATTTTACTCTGTCTAACGCCAGGCAATTTTACTCATCAAGGGGCGAGCGCTGGCACTTAATGGGTTAATGCCTTTACCTAATTTGCATATTGCTGACATATGCAAATTAGGCAAAGGCATTGATTAGCATGCAAATTAATGGATGATTTTTTAAGAAAAAATGTAAGTTTGCGTGAATGGTTAAAGGGCGTAAACTGACGCAAATTGTCTGAAATTTTGTACAGTACTTAATTAAACACCCAACAAACTTTCCATCTGTTAACTTAAAATATGATTAAAGCTTTTAAATTTCGTGCGCAAGCCATTTTTAGTTTGTTGGAAAAGACACACACCCCTGGTTCACAAAATTTGAGTTTGAGAAATTGTTTCCATTTTTCTACATTATCCCAAAGAAGCTATATACATAAAAAACTGGATACTAATAGCTGTTTTGCAAATTTAAGAGCAAATTTCAAATCTGTGCAGTGTTTTTCTTATACACCCTGTACACTCAGTCATATTTTTAAATATACTGTACTTTAACAAGCAAGTTTACTGTACTGTGCTGCAGCAACTGTCCAGTCACACAGACATGATAAAAAGTCGAATGAACATTAGACACAAAGGATAATTTAAAATGCAACAGAACATCTCAAATAATGGTAATGTTGGGATTAGAGGTGTGCAAATCTGATCCGATCGGATTCGTTCTGACTTCGGAACAAAAATATTCATTTCGGATTGCATCGGATTGATAAAGTTGTTTCGTAGTCAGATCGGACTTCGATATTCGACATAAAATGAATTAATTATATATAATAATTATTATTTGGTTAAATATTTCCACTTGAATGTCGAGAAATTTATTTTAATTATTAAACTTTAAGGATTCTTTGAATCGGAATTCTTTATCAAAACTCGGATCGGATTTGAATTAGACAATTTTGGATTGGACTTTAAACATTAGCCAATTGTCAGATTATAAACGTCCAATCCAATCCGATGCGTTTACCTCTAGTTGGGATAGTAGTGTTGCAGACTGCAGAGGAGACCAGAGTGGGTAGTAAGGCTCCTCATGCACAGACCTCTCAACTTTGCAGAGAAGTTAAGAGTGAGATTGGGGATGTGGATGACACCTTTGTAAAAGTCCGGGGCTGGGGGTTTGAAATGGCATTTCGTACATTATGAGAGTTGGTGTTTTTTAATGAAATACGTCATTGCTTCATCACATCCTTTATTGAGACAAGGCACTTTAGTTACAATAACTGTATTTCTGTGACATACAGTAATCAAGTAATGAGTTTTAATTTGCCTTTGGTAATTTACATATAGAATTCTGCTCCGACTGATTCTGCCTTTTGTCCACCGTATTTACATATGCGTACTATTTTGTATCCATGCAAATTGCGGGCAAAAGCCAAAATGTCGGGCTGTATATGCAGGAACAATAACACGCGATTATATACTTCGATTCACGATCCGTATAATGATTAATAATGTGCATTTATTAAGAATACAATATTATATTATTGAAAAAATACTATGAAACTGCTATATGCGTGAGATTTACTAAACGTGGCGTGAGAGCGTGAGAGTGAAGCGAATTGCGTGACACTCACGCCGAATGCGTGAGAGTTGAGAGGTCTGCATGCACTACCCCATGGAAACCTGCATCCCTCCATACACATGAGCCTAGATCCACTCCTGCTCTTCTTTAATTTAAATACATATAATATATATTAGAAAACATTTCTCTCACCTTCAATTGCAGATGTGGGAGATCTTGCCCAGCGCTTGATGCAATAAAGATGAAATATATGAAAGCAGTTTGAACATGACCAGACACCTTTTGCACATCTGATCACCTCACAACACACCATACACTCATACTTCTCATCGGTCAACTGTTCAATCAACACACTTGCTTGCACTGAGGACTGCCCTGGCGATTTCATGCTAACAGCTTGAAAATTTGCATTCAACTTGCCCACATCGTATGACGCTTGCTTGTGTGGACCTCCAACATAATATGAATAATCAAATCTCTTTGATGAATGTAAATTCCTTTGAAGATCAGTTCGATTATTCACGACTGAATTGTCATCAATAAATTGTTTCTTCTTAGAACCTCGCCCAGTATTTACCAATTTATTTTTAGGCACATAAATACCATCACTTACAATCCCATGACTTGTGAAAGGTTTTTGAGTGTCTGTGACCATTAGGGCAGGGGGTTGAGATGGCAATGGTGCTGAAACAACCAGTTGACTAGCCGTACCATGCTTGCCGGATTGGGATCCAAAATTTTTAGCAGAACCTGGTTTTGACTTTGAGTAATTATTAAATCCCTGGGTTCTTCCACAATGAGCTCTAGATTTATTATCTATGTTGGTCTGATGTGGTTTGGGATTTTCTATACCACCCTGCCTACTTGCATTGTAGGTTGAAGAACATGTTCCTTCAGGCTTGGATTTATCTTCCCTGTATTTTGTATCAGCTTTCAACACCTCTCCCTCAGTTTGGTTATTCTGTCCAATTTCTCCAAACATCTTTCCTTGTGATCGGGCATTTTGCCTACCTCTGGGCTTAGACCTGCTTTTGGGTTTTGTATCACCAGCATTCCCTATTCCCGCCTCCCTTTCCGGCTGCTCTTGGCTGGGCTTAGATCTTGAATTTCTGCTAAAGTTGCCTTGCCTACCTCTGGAATTTATAGTTCTACTTTGAGCTGCTGTTTTGCTTGTTTTATCTATACCATCGCTGGAAGACTGTTCAGCCTCGGACTTGGCCAGTGTCTTTGATTCTGATGGACCAGCTTCAGCCATGTCAACGTTTACAGTTTATAAAGAATGACAAAACTGTTATTTAACTGTATTTCATTTTTTTCCATATTTGCAGAAATAAAGTACAGTTACTTGTTACTCAGCATCTCAGCCCATACTCAAGTGGAACTACTGAACCATATTCTGAACCATACACACATACAGTATTTTCAGTTTTTTCACACTTCACCCAGTTGGCCAGTTTCTGTGCCAGTGATTCACCCTATGGTCACATGGTTCACCACAAGAGCTTTCGAACACGTGATTATTCTGCGGGCGCATTCGGTGACCTGCGAGCCTGCAAAATTGCAAATTCAGTAATATTGATTTCATAGTTTTCCAGAGTAGATTTCTGGTGTTGCTTGCCAGGAACATTGAAAACCTCAGAAGTTATAAAACCAAGGCGAGATTACAAATATTAAACGAAAGCCATGGTGTGAAAGCCATTAAAAATGATGGGATTGTTGAGGGAGATCAACACAAATGCACATGGTCGAATTGTTTGAACCGAAAGCAGGAATTTCAGGTAAAAAATATAAACTACTGTTTCAACAACGTCGTCCGAATCTGTGATATTTTTATATAGGCATACAGGCTTATACAGCCATAATTTATAATTTGTTTACAAGCTTTGATACAGCTTACAACTTTAAATAGTTTTTGAAGTAAATATTTTGCCGTATACTGTAAAACAGAACAAAGGCACTGTATTAATTAAAGAGGAAAATCAATGTGACTGTGGTCTGTGAAGTGCTTTAAATGCCGCCGCCATATTCACCAATATATATATATATATATATATATATATATTATTTAGCTTAAAAAGGCCTGTTTCAAACGCCGCGCTTCTCATGTGCCTAACGCATTAAAAACAATAGATAATCAGCTGAAATGCCTCATTTTATATTGTTTCTAAAGCGCGACGTTTGAAACAATGAAACAGGCCCTCTCTCCCCCGCAGAGGCTTTAGTTTTCTTAGGATTTAATATTATGATGAGATACATTTCACTACACTTTAAACAGGCCTAAAATAGATTTTATGTGCTATAACTATATCTGCTGTATGTGATTATTCATGCTGACATAGGCGTACCGGGCGGGGGGGGGGGGGGGGGGGGGGCGGTAGCCCCCCCAGTTTTTTGGGCAGTGGGGCAATATTCGCTTAACAGTCGGGCAATTTTGGTTTGTTATAAAAATAAATCGGACTAATTCTGTCAATTTTTTCAAAAATTTAGTCAATTTTGTGGCCAATGTAG